AGATAACACGACTCTACAATAATGGAGTGTAAGCCATTGGGCCACTATTGACCGTTCACATTTATTGATCCTGCTTATTTATTAAGCTTCCTTTTAATTTGATTTTTGTCTAATTATTCTTTCAAAAACAATCAGTTTAATTATATTTTGACCCTTAAACTTTTAAAAAAATATATTTATTAAGTTTTCTTACGCAATCGTCAAAGAAAAAGATCCGTTAACGACACTCCTTCCCCAAAAATATAACACATGCTCTCAATTAGTAGTGACGGATCCAAAAAATTTAAGAATTAAATTTAAAATTTTAATATTTTTTCTTAAAATTAATATGTATGTATTTTTTTATTTTTAATATATTACCTTAAATTTAATCATTTTTTAAAATAATGAGATGAACTATACACTTAACATTCTTCTTTGCTCTCGAAGTCTAATTTTAGTCTGTACAATTATTATTAATTAAAAAAAAGAAAGCCATCAATTTCTTTAGATTAGATAAGACAAAATGATTAGTGTCACATGAGATTAAGATAATTTTCGTGGGAGGCAATTAGAAAAGTTATAGAAGATAACTTTTAGAAATTATAATTATTATTTTAATTATTGAAATAATTTAAAAATGTGAAGGTCATGTGTAAGAGGAGTGGACACGTGCATGGTCTTCTTTTTCTGGTGATAATTAAACACCTTCAGGTGAGTTTAGAGATTTACGTTTTTCGTGGATAATCGATGTTGCTTTTATATCTCTCATTTCATCTTTTTCCTTTCATTTCCTCTCCATTCCCATTTCTTCATCATTCCTACTCAAGCTCCATAAATCAAATCTAAAGAAAAAGGGGGGTTTCATTCATATCACAAAGGAAAGGAGTATGGCTAAGCAAGGAGTTCATTTCGGGATTTAAACATCAAGGTATTATATTTCTAATTCTTTGGAGTGTTAAGGCATTATAAGCAAGAATGATTTGTTAAGATTTGAGTATTTGAGCATGTTAGGGTTTCATACTTGATTCTTGTCATAGATGACAAATTTGTTATAAAACATGTGTTTTTATGACACTTTAAGACCCTTAGTAACTTCCTAAAACATTAGCACATGATTGGGAACCAAATTAAGATAATTTAGATGATTTTTGGGTATTTCTCGAGTTTAAATAAGACATTTCTAGGTTCGAGTATCGATATTGGACTAACAATATCAATACTAGATGAATTGGGACAAAATTCTAAGGCTTTCAGGTAGGTGGTATCAATATTGTTGGGAGAATATCGATGTTACCCCTACAATATCGATATTCAGGGTATCAATATCGATATTGAATCTCATTTTCAGTAACATAATGCATTTTTTATACCGATACTCATAGGGGTATTGATACTTAACCCTAGGGTATCGATACTGCAAGTAGAGTATCGACACTACTCACTTTGGATGGTTAGATTTGACCTCTTTAAGGCCTGTAAGAGCTAAGGATAATCCGTATTGGCAAAACTTAGTCCGTGAGGAATTTAAATAGCCAAGAAAGCTCGAAAACACTCATAAGAGTGGGCTACAACTGAAGTAACCATAGTGGCGTAATAAGCTCAAATACCTTCAGTCGAGCACATAGCGAGTATCTAAGAATGAAAGGTTGTGTAGAGAATGTACTAACAAGCGATATGATGAATTAATCAGATTACGATTAGAGGAGTTGCATACTATAAGAATGTCGGCGAATGGTGAATGTACAATTATCCCTAAAACTCGAGGGTGAATTGAGGGAAAGCGTAGTAAGAGCGATTTAGAGTATCGTTGCCCAGTAGTGAACCCGATTTAGGTATCAAGCTAGCTAGCGTTACATGTTGTGAACGTCAAAAACATTAATTGTCATAAAATCACGAAAGACGTAGAGACTTCTCTAAAGACAGAAATGACTAAAATGTCCTTAAGTATTGAATAACCATAATATAGTCGTTTAATAAACTAATAGCAGTAACAAACGAATAAACCTTTGCATGACGTTCTAGATGAGAGAACGAGCGAGATTGCAGCTAGTGAAGGGTTAACTTCACTTTAGTGCGTCGAGCTACGCTTGTGTATAGTTAGGTTACCTTAGTTGCCCTAATGAGACATTGTCAGTACGCGCGACACTTTAGTGGCTAGCTAGGGCACGAGGCCCAAACACTCACGAGGAGTGGGTCAATGATGTCAATGTTGTGTGGCCTTTGGGCCCTTAGATATGCATGTACAGTTGAATCAGTCTAGTACAGTAGATGATGATCATCTTATGGTATAGGATATCCAGATACACCTATGCAAGTGTGCGAGACACTTTTATGACTAATTTGGGCGCGAGGCCTAACACTCGCGAAGGGTGGGTTAGCCAGATATGATATTATCAATTATCTAATGTCTGATGGCTATGTGAGACCAAATACTAACATATGTTAAATTTATGTAATGATTTTTAATAATTATAATCTAATTTAATTGTTTAATTACTATTTTTTTATTTATATTTTAAAAAATTAGATACCAAATATATTTTTAATATTTTAGTTTTGAATTCAAGTTTTCATTTATATAAACCAAACATGTTTTCTAATTTTCAAAAAATTAAAATTAAAAATTATTTTATAAAAGCAAAAATTAAAACATAAAATATAAAATATTTTCTATAACCAAACTGACATAAATTTTGTAAAATATTTTGATACCGAATTTACTTATTTTTTTTCAAATTCAATAATTCATATATTTATATTATAATCGTATTTAATCTTTTTATTTATTTAAATTTTAATAAATTAATTTCATGTAGTTTTATTTTATCTTGTCATGTTAAGTATCCTATTTTGTCTCTATGTTTTATGTTATACATATATATTTTTTTCACCATGGGGCGTAATCTCATAAATATAAATATAGTAGTAGTAAATAAGGAAAAGTTGTAAGGTTTTGCCGGCCGTAAGGGTCCCACTCTAATCCCTTGTTTTGCTTATAAAATTATCAAGTGATATCAACAGTAGTAACTGACAGTAGATTGAGTGCTTTGTCCTGGCCTATACATGCAATTCTTTGTGCATGGAAAGTGCCTTTTGACATGAATATAGTTATTCCAAACAAGTAAACCATATCAAATTGGTGCTGTGGAATTTGAGGTATTTATGGTGTCCCTCCATACTTGTCATAGGCTAAAGCAAAGTAGAAATTGAATATGGAATTATATTTCTCGACTTCTTTTAGTTAAAAGTATGCTAAATTTTGACTGCTTCCTGGTATCGACCGCCAAATATTTGACTTAGTTGGTTCATTGTTGCCCTTGTCTGTTCCTCGGTAGGGACAACATGATCCCAAATTGCTGAGTGGTCCTTTTAGTTCCCATCTGCCACAAAGCTCACTTCAGTTGGAGTGGCAAATAATTCAGACTGCCTAAGATTTTTTACATTCGTTTAGATGAATACTTGTTTTAGCAATAACTATATTTTTTTATTTACATCTCAGGAATTTGTGCTGCCAAGTTTCTATTCACTGTCTCTGATGCTTGCACTCGGGATTCTGTCCTTCTTAGCTGAGGTTTGTTCAACATAACAATCAATAAAACACTATTGCACCAACAATAGTTGTAATAACTCTTTTTGTCTCCCGACTTAATTGTGACAATGCTTTAGCCTAATATGCCTGAACTTGTTCCGCTACAGGTGTTTCTAGCTCGTGGACTACAGCTTGAGAAAATTAGTAAAGCTGCAAATGTCCTGTTTGTCGAGGTACCCTCTTCCGCCCCTCGTTAGGTTTCACTTATGATTTTTTAACCAGCTCAGGAGGAGGTTGTAGGTTCCTTGAGCTCGAGTAGCTAGAAATTCATTGTTTTTTTTCCTCTGGTTTTATGTTACAGGCTGCCCTGTCACAGTTATGGGGCATAGGTACCTCAAGCATTGCTCCTTCTTCCGGTCGACTTGTTGGGTGCCTCCTTATCTTAATCTCTGCGTCTTTCACCGTGTATTTTGGACCGGAAAAAGAGATTGAATGAGAATTGTCGGTGCTTTTCATCCCCTTCGGTTGTTGCAAACACAACCAAATGTTTTCTAAGTACTTATTGCAATTTAATTGAATTTATGTTTTTTTTAATTGAACCATTTCAAACAATCTTTTGAGAAACACTAGTACAGCAATTTTTGTATCGACAGAAGCATCTAACAAATAAACTACAATTTCATTACATTTAATAAAACATCTCATTTTGCCTGGCCCTTGTTGTCACACTGGCTTCAGACAGTCGATTCAAAATAAAAGTTGCGTCGTGCAAATTGAATTCAACAGTTTTTTCATGTTTACAAATTAAATTTTCAAGCCGTTTCGGTTCTGATCACTTGATTATTAAATTACAAATGGGTAATAATATGAATTGTTTTATTAATTTTATTCAACACTGTATCGTAAAAAAATTAATTTTATTAATGCCTTTTTATCACGATGTCGTTTTAACATTCAATGAGCAAAATATGTAGCAATATTAGTTATGAAATTAATAATTTATCCTTATTAAATTACAAATGGGTAATAATATGAATTGTTTTATTAATTTTATTCAACACTGTATCGTAAAAAAATTAATTTTATTAATGCCTTTTTATCACGATGTCGTTTTAACATTCAATGAGCAAAATATGTAGCAAATATTAGTTATGAAATTAATAATTTATCCTAAAAAATTAGTAATTTTCCCAAATTTTATTTACTCCAAATTCCTATGATAATGGATTTTATAATTTTACTATACGGTTATAAATGCAGCGTCCAAATTTTATTATTATCAAATATATTAATTTCCGGTTAATTTGTGCCTTTATTTAATATCGATTATGATAAAATTATTAGAAGTATTTTTAATTTACATTTGGGCCGGTGAGTGACATATTAGAAGGTCCAAATTAATTTAAAATTCTTTAATTTAAAAACCAAAAAAGAAGAAGAGATTGTATGAAGCATTGGCTTCCACAAATAAATTTCTTAACCTAATAAAAGCTGTAATCGCCCAAAACGGCACCGTAGATCACAATTATACAGATCCACAGGTTCCTATCAGCAAGCGAAACATGATATTCACTTCGGTCCGATCATAGCATCGCCGGTCAATGCTCTTTGGCTACAATCGACGCGGCATCGGACCCGACAATTTAAATCAACCCCAAAAAATTTGAAAGAAAAATCAGAGAAGAAACCCTCAGAGACCCGTTCCAAATCACTCACACAGGGCAACAAGCTTACAAGAAGCCCCGGAATCCCCGGCCGACCATCAAACACCAAAGAACAAGAATCAGAGGGCTGAGGATTGGCGGATGGGGAATCGAGAGCATTCCTTAGCCTGTTGCCGCTGCTATTTAAAATGTCGTACGGCACTTCCTATCTATGGGAATTCTTCCTCATTGGGATTTCCAATTTAAAACCAAAAACACTGAAAGAAGATAAGGAAAAAAATGAAGTCGGCTGATAACCCTAGAATTACACGTTCCTCGAAAACAACTTAGGTAGGTATTTATAGGGAGCACTGGAGCTGAAACCTGGCATCTCTGAATTGGATTTCTGTGGACTTATTAAAGAGGAGCAAGAAAGTCAGGGATTAGGTTAAGTTTGCTAACACTTGGGCTTATTTTTCTGATTTGAAACAAAGCCCAAATGGAATTCAAGTTTGTTATTAATAGGCCCAAAATGCTTGTGGTAGGTGATACAACCTCCACCGCAATCTTTTCTTACGTTTAAAAGTTCTCAGCAATAATCATTTCATCTCTACTACATTCTTTAAGTAAAGTTAAGAGCTTGAACTTTGGTGTTTTTAAATAGAGTAAATTGAATTGAGAGGATTATCTCTATAATGAGTTTATACAAAGCCTAGGGATACCCAAACTCAACGGGTTCCGACCCGACCCAACCCTATCGGATCATTTTTTTTTTCAAAAAAAAGTGTTGTCGGGTTTAGTTTAGTTTCGGTTTAGGGTGAAAAATATCTAACACAACCAAAAAAATATAATTTTATCTCATATTTAGGGATAATTGCAGTAAGACCCATCATAATATTTTCTCAATTAAATCCTTATTTTTATTAAAATAATATTATTTATTTCAGGTAGGGGACGGGTTCGAGTTTTATTTAAAAAATACTGGTCGGGTTTGAATCGAGTTCGGATTGAGTGGAGGCTATATAATTTTTGGGTTCAGTTGGATTAATCGGAATCCGACCCATGTCCATCCCTAACAAAACCTAATATGAAATAGTAGATCAATAAATCAAATATTAATTGTTAAACTAGAATTACTAATAAAGTTCTTATTTAATTAATAGTTTATTCTTTAACCAAATTCAAACCTTTCACTTTATTGGACTTTGGTTGGAATTAATTAAAAATAAATCATATTTGATGAGTTTCTTTAAGAATGGAATTAAAAATCACAAACATAAATATAAATATAAATATAAATATATTAAAAATAATGCCATGTCAAAGCATTGATACACGTTGTAGTAGTTACATTTTATTTCATACAAAAAGTAATCTGAAAACAGGAACTACGGGTTTATGTTTAGGGATGGTAAACGGGCGGGTCGGGTGCGGATACCCCCTCCTCATCTCCATGCCCACCTAATATTTTTTAATCTACCACCCGCCCACCATCCATGATGGGTAAAAATTTTTAAATCCACACCTGCCCACGCGGGTACATTCTCAAATCCATCCCCACACCACTACCCACTAGAGACGTACCCGACTAGACCCGCCTGACAACAAACTTAAGTTATACATAAGCAACAAACATAAAACAAACACATCTATTAAGAAACATAATAAAATAAACCAATGATTATCTGAGTTAAGTGTTAATATAGATCTTAAAGTACATAAAACATCATAATAAAAGACATAATTAAAGTCTAGAAACATAAATGACAAACACATAATGTTTTTGTTCTTTGGCACAACATTCTAAAATTTCAAGCAATACTTGTGACATCTGATACTCCAGTATTACAATCATCATTCTCATAAAACACCATAATAAAACACCAATATTGTAATATATTCGGTTGAAATTTGAATTTGAAAAAGTCAGTTTTAATGGCGTTAAAAATGGAGGTTTGAAAAGCACAAGTGAAACACTTAATTCTATTCAGTGGCGTTAAAAATAAAGATTTGAGAAGCAACGATCTGACTCTGTTAGCAAAAAACGTGGTTGCTCAGTCACAAGATACTAATTTGTAGAACATTAAGAAATTAAGCTTAAAACAAACATTAAGATGAATCTAAAAAATAATTAAAAATCAGTACGAGCAAATAAAAATTAAACTCTTAAAACGAAATGCAGAGGAGCTTAAAACGAAATGATTACGAAATTGACTCTTACAAAAATTAAATTTCAAGTAAAAAGGGAAAAAACATACCTGAATAAGCTGGAGAGTGAAGACAAGAGGTTTGAAAGAAAAAAATTTATGCATAAACTTATCCCTAATATTTGGTTAAATTACAAGTTATATCTTATACAATATTAGGATTTATAAATTAGTCTCTTAAAATTACACCTAAATTCATAATGGTCCAAAATTTAATGGATATTTAGTTGGGCGGGCAGATGAGGGGCGGGTGGATGCGGTGCGGGCAGATGAGGGGCGGGTGGATGCGGTGCGGATGCGGGGCGGATAAGGTCTCAAACCCATTACCCGCCTACTACCCGCGACGGGTACCACTTTCTAAATCCACACCCGCCCACTACCCACTAAAATTATACCCATCCCCGCCCCAATTGGAGCGGGTGCCGTACGAAATCCACAAAATTGTACCCACTTACCATCCCTATTTATGTTTTCACCCTTGAACGGTCGCTCGTTGCTTTAGCTCCATTAGCGAACAAAAAAGAGAGATTTAATTCCATTGCTAATGGCTAATTTTATTCGGGTTTCTGCATAAACAATTTTCGGAACTACTAATGAAGGCTGCAACTGATTAAATCACATCAAAAGCAACGGATAATTACTTAAAAGATAGCCATAAGCTGCTAAACAAAGCCATTAAAGCAAAGGTGTAACTTGAAAAGGAAGGTCCAAATCCCATCTCATTAAGCAAAACATCATCCATAAAAGGCTCTTGAAGAAAGAGCTAGATATTTCAGAACCAGACCAAGTCCATGACACCCATGAGTCTATACATACAACATCCACATAATCAGACAACAATTATGCCCTTTAAGTGCTAAGAACAGTAAGCTAAAACATGGCTTCACACAAATGAGAACATTGTTAAATCATTTGTTCCACCAGTTTGGTGCAGCATAGCATCGATCTCATCACCATCCTCCATTTCCAGCTGAACCAAAAGAGAAACAAACAGGAATTTTCATTATGCGTTGAACATATATTCAACTCTGAAAACAAGCACATTAGCACGAGTGGTTGTTCGTTTAACAGAGAGAAAAAGGAATGATACCTCATCAGGAGTTTGCTCGCCTCGAAGGCGGCGGCCATCAAACAAGAAGGCAATCGAGTTGAAATCCACAGACTGTCGATCACAATATGCATTCATAAGCTTCTTCAGTTGTGTGCTTCTTTTGATCCTGAAGAAAACTTCATTCCCGTCCTATACTTGTCATGCAAAAAAAATTGTTGAATTTGGTCCAAATTAGAAGAGGAAGCATTGATCTGAGAAGTCATTATAAATCTCAAATTCAATTCAACAGCAACAGAACCTTAACCCAAGATAGTTGGGAAGATGATCTGATCTGCAATAGATGTAAGCCAAATATATATATATATCATTCAATAGTAAATTAACAAAGTTTTAACCCAGAATTCTGTTTAGTTGCTTCTAACTGTAGTTTTTACAAAGATGGTTTCAAGAAAGATAAGTCAATTGAAGGTGTGTTTAAGGCCACGACAAAAAATTCAGATCGAACATGCAGTTCTTTATCAGCACAAAGCCCCAAAACTATTTGAACCTTGAAATTTACTAAGCCCCATAACTTGACAAATAATTAACATCACATTACCCATACCTCTCACTTTTATGTGTTTCCAAATTGGATTAAAATAAATAACAAGAAGCACAAGAAGACTAGAAATAACTTCGAGATTGATGCTGTACAAATGGGAGGGATGTATGTAAATTTGTCAGCCAACTTACAAAGACTTCAAGAAAGAAAACTATTCAGAAGCCAGCAAAGTCAAAGTGAAACAATGGTGTTTCCTTTTGCCGAGTAAAAGGTGTCATTATCGCATAAACAAAGAATAAATAAGAAAATAAAAAGCAAACCAAATAACATATCCTAAACATCTTAGATGAACTGGAGAGACAGTATCTGGCTTCGGTTTGTTATACAAATAGCAAGAGCGAAATGCCCGCTATGTTAAAACTAGTTAACATTCATTTTAGACTACCAATATACTTGAAACATATAACAAAATGCGCTTGAAATTCACTCCGAATTCACCATTACATGGGATTCAACAAATCCATATCATGAAATTCATAATTACATGTTTATTATGGTAAATTTTAATACTAATAGAAAAATACATTCATTCGCTTCTTTTAATATCAAGTTACTGAAGCCAATCTAAACTAATCTAAACTCAAAAGCATGCAAAAACCGAAACCAAAAAATAGAAGAATTTGCATATAACAAAAATAGATGGGCAGAGGGAATAGTGTTTGAAATAGATAGATAACACGACAAAAGAATTACAGAATTAACATAAATTTCAATTATTAAACTCCATGAAAAAAAAATAACAGGAATTACAAATATCAAGCTTTAACTCTACGCAATCGCAATCGTGTGAGCATCTTATTTAATTCCAAAGCTAGAGCATCAAACACATAAATTACAAAAAAAAAAATTGAATTATGAAATCAATATTGATCCGTATTAGCATACTTCTCTATGTGGCGGTGAATTTTTTTTAAATCAACCAAACAAACAAATTAAACGGAAATTTGAGGAAGAATAATCTCCCAATATTGAGTAAAAACAGAGAATTTTAAAGACCTGGCCTTTGACTTTGAGGTTGATATGGGCGGCAGATTGATCGCCGGGCTTCTTATCTTCCTCTTGCGGTTCCGACATCTTCTTCTTCTTGTTTTGGTTTCAGCGATTTCTGGTTCCGATTCTGCAGTGAGATCCTTTATAGAACTAGGTTTTCTTTTCGATATATCTGATTACACTTTGTTTTTATCAACGCACCAGGCTATTGTTTTTTAATCTTGAATTTATAAAGTTAATGACGTGTAAAATTATTACTGGAGCATCGTTATCTTTGTGAGATAAAACAACATTTAGTTGATATTCTTTTATATATTTGATCATTAAATATTTTTATTTTTATTTTAAATTTAATATAGTTTTCGTTTTTAATCTATCGATTATGTAATATTTGGATATTATACCACTCGACAAAACCACATAATAGCACATACTCTTATGATCAAAATTTAAAGTTCATGAATTACTGAATTTTGATATTAAATTTTATTTTATCTTTTATTTTAGGTATAAATAAAAGCATAATTTAAAAATTGGGTAAAAAACCTTAATGGCCACTAATGTTTGGGTAAGTATTTATTTTATCACTAATGTTTGAAAAGTCATAAATCGACCACTAACATTATCATTTTTTATAAAATGGTCATTAGACACTGCAGGGGATAGAAAGCTGACGTGGCATATTAACATGATTTTTTGACATCCTTTGACCATTTTGATCGGCCTTCTTCTTCAACCCAACCCCTTTTTTCTTATTCTTCAACCAAACATCTTTGGCTGGTTTTGCTTCTTCCTTTTCTGCTTCTTCAAGCTCTTCAACAGATTGTTCCTTTTCTCTTATTTCTTTCGTTTTTCTTCTTCCTCTGCCTTTAAACGAGACTCTTCCTTTCATTTTTCTTCCTCAACCAAACCCTTTCTTATTCTTCTTCAACCCCTCTAAATGTTACTAAGGGAAGTAGGTAAACCTTTGACTACATAGATAACATGACTACTGTAGTTTTTTTCCCTTTGTTCTTATTTATACTGGTTGATGAAATCGAAAAAGAGTACCAAATCAATTTTCTCGTTCGAAGGACAGCGTTCAGTGGCGGGTGGAAGAAATATGGTTAACTCGTCGAATCACTTTGTACCCATTATTTGCATATGACAATTAACGGATGAAATGAATTCAAGTCTGTTGAAAATTGGTGTATATTGATGAAAATGCATAGAGAAACATACTGTTGTGTTAAATTTGCAAGTATATAAAGTGAGAATCAATGACTTGGTTGAAATAGATGTAACCCTTGGCCTACTTAGATTACAGAACTGGTCTAGTGAAGAAAACCAGTCGGAGGTTGACAATTTGGATGTCGGATCCAGTGAAGAGAAGGTCGACTTCGAACAATCAAGAGGTACTAAGAAGTTCACTATTCTTATCGAATGGTTCGACTTAAATACCGATATTGTTAACATTTCAGATGCCATTAGAGCTTCCGAGATTTTCACCACACGAGCTGATTTCGCGACTCCGGAGAACACTTCGACCAACCTCAAGGTTTAGGGTGTTGATGGTGGTTTGCATCACCCATAGAGCCTTACGTTTGAATCAAAACAGGAAGTGAAATTAAGGGGAAAACATAGGAATATCTTCTACGTTTTTGGACCCTCCATATTTGAAGTTACCACAAGAAGTAGGTAAACCTTCACTGACCCATTTTTATTTCATTTCATCGTCTGAATCAGGTTCTAGCCATGTTATTCTCAGCTTGAACCTAGACGAGAAGGACTGGTCAAATGATGTCAAAAATGATTATTTTATAAAATCAGCCTTACATTTTGTTTATATTTTTATATAAAATCATATTAACGTGCCACATCAGCTTTTCGTCACCCACAGTTACGACTGTTAACGTCAGGTGATCATTTTATAACAAACAATAACGTTTTTTTTTTCAAACATCGGTGATAAAAACATACATTTACCCAAACATTCACCCATAGTAAGACGCTTCAGGGAACGTACCTTCGGTCCACCCAAGTGAAGGTGTGTTACGTGAAACACGCCTTTTTAGAAAGGATACTAGATTGTCCATTAGGAGTGACGGTGGTAGAATTCGAAATTAGTCTTATAAACTCAAATTTTTAAATCCTGACCACTTGTATCAACACTCATCTCATCATATTTCTAACGAATAGAGTATTATAAAAGTATAAACCCTAGACCCTAGTTAAGGGGGACCAGTAATTACCTATGGGTTAGTATCTTATGCACTAAATTGTAAATCTATATATGCTTTTTGCCAATTAGGCGATATCGATTCAACAAGAGTTGTTAAACATAAATACATAATCTGTTTTTCTAATAAAAATAAATTATATGAACGCTATTGGTTACATATCACACTGTATGCTTATTTTTTAAAAATAATTTCGTTAATAAATTATATTAGTTTGTGCGTCTGATATTTATGTTATCATTACGATTTGTTTGAAATATAATATAGTAAATGCGTATGACATCGATGTACATACAAATGGAAAGGCTCGGTTTGAAATCACAAGGAAGTAAAACATTATGTCATCATAATGTGGTGATAAAAGGAATCGATTTTGCTGATACATATAATTTAAAAAGCAGAGGATAATTCTTTTTTGAAAGGCAGCAGAAAAGTGCAGAAAAGTTTTGAGGGCTGATTCCATGTGCCTTTGAGGTCCCATATAGGACTTGCCTGCCTATTTAATTGTAAAGAATTGACTCCATATCTATATTTTTTTTAGACCAAAATGCAATATCATTGCTTTAAAAATTAAATTTAATACAAAATATTATACTAGTATTAGATTTTTTTTGGGTTCACATTTCTTATTTTCAATCCCAATATTTAACAAAAAAAAATTATGCAGAAATCAAAAAGCTGAGTCAAATGAATAGGGTTGCGAGGTGCCTCCTTTGGAGTTTGAAGCAATGTCATCCTTCTTACCGTCGGTCGACTCGGTCACATGCTTCATATCATTGAAGTACAATTTACTATTCCAATATTTTCATCGAGAGAGATTGATTCAAGTTGTAAGTAGTTTGATATCATTTAAGTAAAGTCTCGAATTCGAGTCTTTATGCATGTAGAAAATCCTTATTAAGAGATTCACCCACTAAAATTAGATATTCGACACATATCGGTTTGGATTAGTTAAGCTAAAGCCTTGAAACCGGGAGAAAAACTAAAAAATTTCCAATATTTTCATTACTGTTTTTTTTTTTTTTATCTATTTATATATATGAATAAACTTATATACTAATTACTTCCTTAACAACGATAAATATATTTGACTCGCTAACTATTATATAAACCCTAAAACAACCTATACTCCAAAATCCACAAGGTATTACCAGCCTTTGCATCTCTTGTGAAGATTGGACAATGCTTTAGATGATTATGCAAAGATAAATAGTTTAAAAATAATATTATACTCCCAAATAACTCATAGAAATGGTGTGTATATATATATATATATGTGTGTGTGTGTGTGTTTTTACAATCTTGAAGACATTGATTATAGCAAGAGCCGAGGCGTTGGGAAAGTAGATAAAATGGGAAAAGGGTGAATGATAGATGCAAAGGGAGAACCTTTACAGCTTGTTGACACAGTGTCTATGAGACAAGGGTCACAAGGGATAGGTATCTCTGCCTGCTGGAAAGTGGTAGGGTGTTTTGATACCGATTTAGCTTTAGAAACTATAAGAAAAATATTATACATTTTAATAGACAAAAATAACATTGTAAATTAAATGCAAAATTAAAATGTTATATACCGATATTCCAAATCTTGACGTGCTTAGTAAATTATATTTAACCAATCAAATTCAACAATAATGGGGTTCACTGTTGAGTTGACAGAGTTTGTAAATTGGGTTGGGTTATTGGATTTTTAAAGCATAAATTTATAAATATATATACAATAATTTGAAAACTAGCATATAATTGGTCGATCGTTCGGTAATTAAAAACGAAAATAATAATTACAAAATCATCATACCATAATGTTAATAATTTAAGATAAACTAAATAAATATTAAATTTTATATCATCTTTTTCAATAAAAGTTACATGAACCAATTTACCTCAGTGGTTAAAAGAATTATTATAGTTCTTAAAGGTCATGAGTTTAAGAACAAATGATTGCAATAGGTCGATTGGACGTTCATTGTCAAATGGTTGAAAATATTTAGAACAAATACAACATTATAATTACCTTATTTTAATAAAAAAAATAAAATAAAAAAAATTATTTTAATTTTAATTTTTAATTTTTAAGATATTATACCATCACATCATCAATGGTGTGATAGTAATGTCATTTCGTATCAATTTATTATTAAATTTTAAAATATTTTTCAGACATTAAATCTTAATTTTAGATAAGTTTTATCATTAAACTTTAAAATATTTTAATTTTTAGGTTGATTGGACGTTAATTGTCAAATAATTGAGAATATTTAGAATAAATAATATATTGTAATCACGTTAACTTATTTAAAATAAAATAAAAGTTAATTAATTTAATTTTAAATTTTAAGATATTATATTATCACATCATCAATGGTGTAATAGTAATGTCGTTTTTCATATGTAAATTTTAGTATGCGTATCAATTTTATCACTAAATTTTAAAATACTTTTCAGACATTAAACTTTAATTTTGTATCAGTTTTGTCATTAAACTTTAAAATATTTCAATTTTATATATTAAACCTTGGTTTTTATATCATTTTTTTCATTAAACTTTAAACTGTTTCAATTTTAGGAATTGAACCTTAGTCTACGTATGAATTTGGTCCCTGCAAAAAATTGTTAAATCCTCCAACTATCAATCTAAATTTCACTCATCTTTCTTCTACTCATTTCACAAAATTCAGTCAAAAGTTAACAAAAAAATTATATGAAGGTTCGCTGTCCTATACATTAATAAAATTATTCATGAGTTGCACATAGACATGGCAGTAAATAATTTATTTATATCCATTCTTTGTCCTATAGATATGAAGGTCCCAGGCCATTCTCCGTACGTACTTTCCTTTATTTTCCACTTCAAAACTGTGATATCCGTCAGATTAAACAAATCTTCATCGTGTCTTCTTCCTTAAGTTGAACATTCATTTTCAAGATTGCAAACAGACTGTGAAAGTAAAGGCCTAAAT